TGCATGACAGACACTGCAGGTGTGGAGCCCCCTCCTCGTAAGAAGAAGATATCAATTTATATTAATTGAAATTTGTTATGAAGTTTGACTTTTTCCCCCACTTGACAATAATGATACATATGAGTCAGTTAACTGTGTTCCTCTGGTATTTTTTTGTGAAATTAGTTCATCAGATTTAAAAAAAATTTCTTCTAATTGTGTTATAGGCAGAGACGGCACATGACAGGGTGCTTGTCTGTGATGTTCAGCGTTCTCCCTGTCCTGGGGAAACATCCGAGGGTCCTGCTGCTGCTCCTGTTCCTGTTGCTGTTGCCGGTGCGATGCCTGGTGGTGCGGCAATCCAGGTATGTATCTAGTAAATTTGTTAAAGAACTATGCCTTCTTTAAAATTTTGTATTATATTTGGGGTGAGTAAAGGAACTCTTAAACAGATCTTCAGACAGACCAGTCAATTTAAGATCCAGGTAACCTCTTGATGCAATAAATATATATATTTTTTTTTTATAGAATTGTAGAGAACTGAAACGTGATGAAATTATGTTTATGATAGCATTTCTATATATCACTGATATTCATTTTATAAAGGCTGTTTCTGTAATTTTTTTAATCACTTGTTGGAGTTGCATGCCATTGATGAAGTTTGTTAATTTACACAACATTTTAAAATGAAATGCAACAAATAAAATCTGAGGTTTTCATCATACAGGTATGTTTGTTCTGAAGTTTAGGTTGGTTGCATGGTGCATGATAAGTGGTCTGTACTTGTGTAACGCTTTTTCAAGTCAACAGGCTCTACACTACATTATATGGTAAACTACATCATAGCCCAGGCTGTCCTGGGTCTCACTGACAAAATAGAGCCTGTTGTCACTGGTGCTCCCAGGCCCTCTGACCACCATCAGTTTATAATTCATTAACTTCAGCATTTTGAAAAATAAATCCATATAAGTGGGATGTACATCGCAAAAGATATTGTGTGGTATTGAATAAAAATATGTTTTGAATATTGTGTTTATTGCACTTGGGAACATTTTTCCTTTATTCTAAAGGGGCCTGCGGAGGGGGATGTTGGACAGCGCACTCAAACATCAAAAGGTCAGGCTGTTAATCTTGTTTCTTGTGTTTGTTCAGAGGGGATGCCGTTGCCTCTTGTTCCAGGTAGGTTGCTGCAGAATCCTAGCAGTTTTCTGAATATTAAAAAGGTAAGTGGGTGTAATATTATAGCTGCAATAAAACACACCATTTTTCCCGTCTGCACTTGGAATTCATCAGATGTGGATGAAATAATTGTTGAAGGTTCCAAGTTTGCAGCCTATGTAGCTAGAAAAGGGGTGGACGTAGATGATGGCCTGGAAGTGTGCAAATTGG